AATATATTTACAATTTATTATGTTTTGTTTAAAAATAAAGTCGAATAAAATTGCAAAATATTGTTTTTTTTAAATGTTCTTCCACCTTTTTGCATGAGCAATAGATATTTTAAATTTACAGGTTTTACCCCCCCCCTCCCCGATCAACATACCCCAATTTTCACAATTAAAATAATAGTATTACCAAATTGGTAAGTTAAATAATTATTTAAAAAATTGTAGAATGCCTCCACTTTTTAAAACTTTAAGTATAAAGAACAAGCATAAAATAAATTTTTATTTGAAATTTTCTTTTCTTTTTTTGCTTTCTACTTAGCTGAACGATAATTGGGGCTGTGTGAGAAATAGGTTCTCAATAAACCACATGGCAGAATTTTTTTTTTCCATCATCAGTATGCTTCGAACAGAAAATTTTAAGCTAAGAAAATACAGTTTGCACAAGTTAAAATGTCAGCAGCTAGTTAGAGGCCGCAGATGATCACAGACGCCAAATAGCTACTTTATTGCAAAAATTAAAAGTTGTTCAGTTTTCAGAAATTTTAGGAGTAGGCTTTCTTAACAAAGTAAAGAATCAAAAGCAGAACAAAAATAGGCACAAAAAAAAATGATAATTTTCTTTTGAGTAGTAAATCAAAAATATACAAATGCCGAAATACTTTATTTAGCAGTGTAACTCAAATCACAATGATTATAGAAAAAACAACTGAATTCCTATTTAAAAACAGCTCTTCTCTCAACTACAAAATTTAGAAAAAAAGACTAAAAACAAAAAACATTTAAAGTTATAAAAGATTTAAAAAATGTGTCTCTATACATGGAATATTAATTATTTATGAATATTTTTTATATTTAGAACAGATTTAAATTTCCAGTTCACATTATAATATAAAAAATTCCCTTCATTACCTTTCATGGCAAAACGTAACCTCTTCTCTAATTCAGAAGCCATGTGATCAATCTGTTTTTGTTTTTTATCTAAAGCTCCTAATTCAATAGCAATGTAATGGCTGTTATCCAAATTGTTCTTGATCTGCAATAAACAAATAAAAAATAAGTAAAATAATACATGCTTAGCAACATAACAAAAAGAAACATATCTCTCACCCCCCCCCCCATACAAAATCACAATAAAAAAATACCAAAAATTTATTATCAAATAATAGAACCTGAAATAAAAACTGATTCATAAGAGCTGATGAAAGAATATTATGAATCGAAGTATTTATATTTCATACATTTAATTTGAACATTCAAAAGCACATTGTTGAAATACATATCCAAATGAATACATGGTATATTACAACAAGCAGCTGCTTTATTATACCTGACAGTTACATGCAAATAAGCTATTGCATCCTACACCATGACATGTCTATGTTAGTATATAAAACCCAACTCTTTTTTTACATGGTAAATGCTTTCCTTATAAAACCGAGCTAAGAAAATTGTGTAAAAAATACATGAGACAGATGGTAAATTTGGAGATATATTCCACATCTTTAAAAATCGTGTAAGATGAAACATTTCTAAATATTTTCCCAAAGAAACGTGCAAAAAAATAATAAAATACATGCTTAAGATTCATAAAAAAACAAAAAACGATTCATTTTTATTACCAAAAATACTTAAATTAGTTTAAAGTAAAAATTTAGTCTATAAGCACATACAACTTATAAAATTTCAAATTGAATACAACTACTAACTAACAGCTATTCATCACTAACTGACAACAAGCATGCACATTTATTACAAACTGGATCAAAAATGCTATCATCAGTAGATGTGTCATATGTCTTAAACAATTGTCGGTTTTGATTCAATTGAAGATTTTGTACGTTTTTTACGGCGTGTTTAATTCAAATATTTTTTGCTGCTGTTCTTGTTACAAAGTCTGTGATAAGCAACTGTTTTTTGCTTATATAATTCTTGATATCCTGCTACATAAAACTTCTGCTAACATTGAAATTTTAATGCGCACTCTATGTCAGGATCTTGAATAAGAAAATGTTGTTCCTATTTATAGCAAATTTCAAGTCCTCATGAATTAATCAGCAGTTAATAGCTGAACTTCACCTTTCACTTCATCAGTATTGACTTCTTTATTATCATAATTTATCATGAAGTAAGATCAAATCAACCTTATATACAAAGAGCATGAATCGTAATAAGAATTTGGGGCATTCTTAAAATCTTTTTGCAATTCGTGCTTGAACAAAAAATTCGTGTATAAAAATCGTTAAATTCATGCACCGTGTAAATTCAAAATCATGTAAAAAAAAGAGTTTGACATATTATAGAAAACTGAGCTTCTGAGACAGTAGTGTAGGTATATTATTGAAGAATACAAAGAGGAAAATTTGATTTGATGTACTTAGAACCAGAGATGTAAATAGAAGATCAGATGCAAGAAGTAATTGTAAGTGAGACTGCTGTATTTATGAAATATCTCATGAGCAACTGTAAGGAATATGTATCAAAACTGAAATGTAAAACAAAAGACTCAAGCCTAAACAGGGAAGTTGTGGTTATCACTGAATGGTGAATGATTGATTTGATTTTTTTCTTTTTTTTTATGGCACAAGAACCAATTTAGATCATAATGCGCCAAGAGAGACAATAAGAACAGTTAAAAGGTGAATGATTACGCAGAACATAGAATCTCTTGAATTCAGAATGAAAACAGAACAGTGGCAGTACAGGAAATCGTTGGTTGTAGATCTTACTCAAGTATCATCTAAAACTATCTCTGAGTACACCGTTTGGGCCTTAGATGCCAAAGGTCAGAGCAAATATCATTGCTTTCTGCAACAAAAAAGATAAAATGTCTCAAATTTGTTCAAGCACATAAGGACTGGATGGAGGACAGCTGAAAAAGTAATACTGTCTGATGAATTTTATTTTACATTACATCATGTAAATAGCATAGTTAAAGACTGGCAGAAACAGCACGAAAGCATGGACTCTGTATATCTATATTTTAAACAAGACATAACTGTGCATAACGGACATTCAAGAACATAACGGAGAGTTTACTTTGTTGAGTTGGCCTTCACAATCCCCAAATCTCAAAGAAACAGAATTTGTAGGACGTTGAAAGATAGATTCCCCACCATCCAATCTCACACTAAAAGGAACACTTTTCTTCAGACATATTTTCAGATTTCACAAATGACCTATTCATATCTTGTGAAATTCATGCTAACAAGAATAAAAGTTGTATTAAAGGCAAATGTTAGACAACAAGATACAGATGAGATGGTCATAATAAAGTGGCCTCTCAGCGTAATCTAGTGTGCATTAATTATGTTTTTACATAAATTACCCTACATTGACCAGAAATGATGAATAATTAATTTATTAAAAGTACCATTTTTTTTATCAAAGAAAAACCCCTTAAGTAGTTATGACCCCTTTTTTTCCAAACTTCACACACTAATGACGAAAAAGCAAGTACAGTAAATGTCAATGAGTATCTCTTTAGGATACTCAGTTCTTAAAATCAATTTCCGTATTATAAATATAATTCTAATTTTCATCCTTTAAGCACTCCTAACTTTAAGTTGATACAAATGATAAAACAAATATAATTGAAATAATTTTAACTTACACTAGACACTCTTTAACAACAAATTATTAAAAGCATTGCTAGTCTTAACATATTATAAATCATTATATTAAATGCCATTAAATTCATATAGAACACATATGCATGTTTATCATCTAACAATATGCAGATTTAAACACTTTTGAGAAAGGCAAGCACAATGTATCCAATCCCAACAAACATTTCTCACAGCTTGGAGTGTCACATATGACTTTCTGTTTACCACAGATGCTTAGCATGATAGCAGAATAGTTCGAAATTGGAAAATGTTATCCTTTTATTGCAGTTTTTTTTAAGGGGGGGTATTTACTTGGAATGAAAGTTTCATGGGGGATGAGCAATGTAAATATACGGAGTATGTATCAGTTGATATAATACACATGCCCACATTCTTAATTCCAATATTACCTTGGTTATATATTTTTTTGCTACTGTGCAGATTCCTTTATGGTTTTACATGTATTTTCCTTCATATTTTAGAAAGCCTTGACTCCAGATTATTATAGAGAAAAGTGTTATTTATCAGGGTATGAATACACCTGCACATTATAATCTACAGATAATGTAATTATTTAAAAAGGTAACAGAAATTATTATGCCAAGACTTAATTTTTTTGATTTCCCTCCCCCAAAAGTTACTCTTAATGACACAAAACCTTTGTCTTGTAGAAAGATTTTTTCACTTCTGTCCCGTCCTGATGGTTCGTGATAGACAATGGCACAAAGGTATAATAAATATTATGTTTTCAGAAAAAATATTTTAATTGTTGCATTTTTATTTCTGTGATAATTGTAGAAATATTATATGAATGATGTATTGCAAAAATACAATAAATAAGTACAGCCACAGAGTATCAGGGAAATTTATATGCAATAAGCAATATTTATCTCATGCAGTAAAAAACTACAAAATACACAAAATGCTCTCCACAAACTGGCCCCACAATTTATGGCAAACTGTTCACAAGACAAAAACTGAAGCAAGAAAATTGACAATACTTCAATTTTGTTTTTTTTAAGTGGAACTTTCCAAGAAACTAGGAAAGCTTGCAACATTTCATCTCAAGGTTTCCCAGTACTTATTGTTGGTTGTGTCTCCATGTGTCAAGATAAAAAACAATATAAAAAAAAATTTAAGTCAAATTCCTACTTAAGTCAACAAAGAAATTTTTTATTTTAGTTACTTTTTATTAAATATTCATAATTAATATAAATATAAAAAACATATGACAGAATTGCAATATTAAATGACAAAATACAAAGTATCCTTGCAATTTCTCATTTTCCTTTCTATATAGGTGTAGGACTATTTTTTGTTTGTTACTATTTATTCAAAAATTAAATTTAATTATTCTAATAAAATAGTATAATAAAAAGGAAATCACATCCTCAGAAATTAGATGGAATTCGAACCCATGGCCTTTGGATTAGAAGTTCAATGCGCATTATCCATTACGCTACAAGGACACAACGAACCATTTTCTTCTTTATATATGCTGTTGGACTATTATTTTTGTTTGTTACTATTTATTCATTTTTTTAATTTATTTAATGAATTAATATTTGAAAAAACTCTATTAACATCAAGTGCCATCCACTACAAGTTTTAAAAAATACATTTGAATTAAATGGATGAATAGAAAGTACTTTATTAACAATTGAAAATTTGAACAAGATATATATATATATATATATTCTTTGTATAAGAATTATAAAGAAAACCAAACAACATTCTTTTCTTAACCTTCGGAAACACTTTTTTGGGTTGGGAAAATGTAATTTCGGTTTTAAAGAATGAAATTTTTCACAACAAAAAATTACCTTAATCTTTCAAATATCTTCCATTCTGTTCAAGCACATGTAATTTTTCTGATAACTTCATGAATCTGTTATCATTGAGTTTATGGTCCTTAGCAGCAAAAAACTCGACCAAATGTTATCTGAGGTTAGCATTTTTATTAAATTTTTTACCATTTAAAAAGTTTTGTAAAATTCAAAATAAATAATTAGATGGTGCAAGGTTGGAGCTATATGGAAGGTGGGACATCACGTCCCAACAAAATTTCGATAATTTCACAACCTTTTACTACAGATCATTTTAAAGACGCATCAAATTTAAACCATGTTCTTTTTTTATTAATGTTATTGTAGACTCTTCATTTTTCATCCCTGACCTTGCACTATCAGATAATCATTTATATCAAAGTTAACAAAAGTTTTTACACTGGAAAAATTATAGTAATAATGACCACCTCAAATTGCAATTGGTTGAGTTTTTTGCTGATAAGAAGCAGAAGCTATTATCTTGAAATCAAGGAGTTGGCAGAAAAACGTCAACAGGTAATCAAACAGAAAGAAAAATATTTGAATGATTAAAGCTTATTTTTTAGGATAGAAAACTTACACTAAAAAAAAAAGAGAAAGAAATTACTTTCTTGCCAACCCAATATTTTATCCTTTTGTTAATGTTATGTTTTATAATGTTAATATTCTCTATTGCAATTATATTTCAAACTAAGCTTAATGCTTTAACTGCTAATTCATTCCTTAAATTTCGTTTTTACCATTTAAAATAAATAGCAAAATAATTTGCAAGAATATACTTTGTAAAAACATTTAAAATCAGATATTTAAACTAAAGCAAAAAGAAATTTAGATTTGACATGACTTTTTTTAAAAATAACCTTTTGAGTTAAAAAATGAAATAATCACTTTTACTTACCTCATTAGCATGATTCATCTCATCAGGATACATATTAGAATGGTGATCTAATGAAATAAAAAATATATAACTAAATTAACCTGATTTAATCATTTCAAAATGTAGGCAAAAAACAAATCTATAAACTAACCTTTAAAAGCTTAAATTACACTTAATAACTTGTATACTCAGTAATTTCAATTTGTTATCTCTATGAATGAATTAGACAATGGGAAAAGTGAATTCTAATATATCATATTACAAAATTTTATTTTTATTTTAAGGATTTCATGACTTTTTAGCCTATTCTAATAAATAAAAGTTGGCCAAGAAAAAATTTTAAAGTAAATGCTAAGAAATATTCTTTAAAAGTTTTAAGTATTTCAAAGTTAAATTTAAAAGTAAAATACTTCCATTAGAAGAATAACTTATCTAACCTTCTTAATTAAGATTACTTTAAACAATCTAATCAGTATAAATATCTATTTTTTGTATTCATAAAAATCAAATATTTGATGCACTTATAAAAATTATCACAGACCAGATCTTCACAAAGACATTCCTTTAAAGTAATACAAATAATCTAAGGTTAAACATGTGCAATAATGCATATGTATGCATGAAAACCCCCAAAACCATTTAACCAAATTAATGACACCAATAAGAAAATATTGAATTTAAAGTGCTTAATTTTATTGCTTAAATTAAATTTATTGATCACCACTAAATTTCATAAGAATTCTAACCTTATTTATAATTTAAATAACCCATTCTAAAATTTAACTGTTACTTTTTTATATTCAAACTCAATATAAAGAGGACAAATATATAATACATGACAAGAAATATGAATACTAAAAGACATCTAAGAGATTATAACCTTAAACTGATACAAAGACTTAAAAATATTTATAAAAATACAGACAAAATTTCAATTAAGTTGTATCTTAAAAAATTACAGCTACACAATATTTAATAAGATAACACTGCTCCAAATAAATATCAGGATTAAAAAACATAGGTTTTAAAAGAGCTGATAAAATATGTGGAAGATTTGAAGTGTTATCATTCATGATGTAATATAATATAATGCTTACAAAAATTTACATAAATGTGTGACAGATCTATATGTGTTTTTACTAATTACTTCTTTTTTCTTTAAATCAAAATATTTATTTCAACCAACCTTCATCAAGAAACCAAACGTGATTTATGTAAATATTATATAAATTCGGTTTTCACGAGTTGAAGGAGAGTGAAGTAAGAGGTCAAGTTAAGTGAAGTAAAGCGAAGAAAGGGAGCTGTCGATACAAAGTTGTTGACAAGTTATGCAAGGTTGATACGTTTGATGTGTGCGAGGAGAAGTGGTTAGTGAAGATTGAAAAGTAGTGTAATTAAATATTAAGGAGCATGGAGCCATCTTCATTGATCCAGCTAAAGATATTGCCTGAAGTTCTCTGTGAAGGAACTGAAGCATTAAGGAATCAGGTATCGTAAAATTGATTAAGTAAAAGCTGATTATTATTGTGCGGTGTAGTTGTAAATGAGCGTATTTAAGCTATCTTAGATTCGGTTGAAGTTCTGTAATATTATCCTCACACTTGTATATCTCACCTCTGCACTCTACCATTGTTATAAACCTTAATTAGAATTGTGTTGTGTTTGTTCATAATCCATAATAAAAATTAATGAATCAAATTGGATTGAAATAATGTCTGTAGATTATTTAGTTCCTCCTACACATCTAGCCGAGTTTTAAGATAGACAGGAGGGTTCGAATGTAAGGAGTAACAATAGGTTACCACAAATGTACTAATTTCTTTTAAAAAGAAATAAAATCTTACATAAAGTACTCAGATCTTATTACTAAAGAGTAAACAAATTGGTCTAAAATGGATTTTAGACACAGAATGCATTGTTTAATTGTAAGTTAAATAAGTTGATTTTTAATACTTTCATTAGTTAAATCTCTTTTCAATTTCAATATTAAAATGATAAATTTAACCCATTCAAGGCTTTGTTCACTGGTATATATGATTGCTCAATTCTTCCTTCATGCTCTATGATATCAATATACGAGACTAGTGTTTCCAAGTCTTAAGGACTGTAATCATGCTGATTTAGATTCAAATTGGAGTTATAGTTTTTTTTTTTTTTTTTAAATTTTGAAAATGGGTTAATTTTAAGAATGATTTACATATCCGAAAAACTGTTGGTTGAAAATGCTACTGACATGGCTTATAATATATGAATATAGCTTCATGCAGTACTCACTTCTATATTTTTCTCCCAATTATTATAATAAAAAAACAGCTTCATAATATTAAAGTTTTCTTTAAATTTTAATTCCAAACATTGCCCACTCTATTATGTTAATAGTATGCAATAGAGGCATAACACAGAGATAATTAATATCAATATCACTTTCTATTACTTTTATGAAAATATAAAATAAAGCAATTCCAGTTAAAAATGCAATCCTATTATATTATCACATCACACATATATCATAGTTATACATATAACATAATTTAAAACAAGGTTTTTTGTATTCTAAGATTCTCAGAGTTATTTTTGCCCCATAAAATTTTTTATAGCATTTATAAAGAAAAGAATTAGGATTCAAAGTATAATTGCAATTAAATTCTTTATATTCAAAAGAGTATTTTCACATTATTAAATCAACTACAGATTTCACAAAAATCAAAAGATAGTTCTTACTAATATGCATATAATGTAATCTATCAAAAGTATTAAATAAAAAGAAAATCAGTGACTTAACTTGAATATATCAAAATTTTTAATATTTTCTTCTAAAATGTTGCATCATAAATCATGTGCCTTAAACCTCAAATATATACGAGTAAATAAACGAAGTTTACTTTAAAATGTAAGTCAAAATATAATATTTATGTCCCAATACCAATTTCTAGGAAACAAAAATCTACATGGAAAACACATATATAGGGGTATTATAAAGTTTTAATTATAACTAAGAAATAACTGAGATAACTATATTAAATAATCTGTATGTATATGTTATAAATTACAGCTATTAATACATATTTGCTTGCTTTCAGGAAGTCATAGGTTGAAGTATGAAAAAAGAGGCTAGCAGTGTGATTAAGTTACCACATTCGATAAGTTTAGCACATGACAAATCCAAAAAAGAATGACGATTATCAATGAAAATGTTAGCTCATCATGCCACACAGTTGTGAGGTTGAAAAGAAATTCTCAAGCTGGCTATATAACCCTCACAGATGATCCAAAAAGGAGGAAACCATCACTCAGACAATGATGCCGCAGATTTTATCAGCAATCATACAAATGATCTTGAATGTGACTGATATTAGTAATAACAGTGTGGGAGAAATTATTCACAAAGAACTGCACGTCAAAGGTGTCTCCACACTGGGTTCAATGTGATTTTACTGACTTCTTTTCAAAAATAAATACAGCATGACTCATCAAGAGAGATGTTGAATGTTTTCAAGCAAAACAAATAGAATTTTTTTTTTTTTTGGTTTTATAATAATTATGCATGAATTTGTATCTATCAATATGATTAGGAGACCAAAGAGATAAGTAAGAAATGGAGTACATCAACTCCCCTACCCTTTTCTACTAAGAAGGTTAAGGTGCACAAGTCTGCAGGGAAGGTCATGCTGTCTGTTTTTTGAGACAGTTATGGAGTCATCTTAACAAATTAGCCGAAGAAGGAACAACATATAATTAATTCCTATTACTTGACGTTGCTT